GATTTATTGCCAGCAACAGATTATCTGAGAGCTGCTAATTATGGATTTAATTTTCTGCCCAGAAAGAGCGTTCAATACATATTATCTTTAGAAGACTACATTTCCCAGAATCCCTTTCAGTGGAGATGGGAGGTACTCCTGTTTGGCTAGGGAAAGAAAAGTTCTGCAGGAAGCCAGCATATATGTTGCTCTGATGTTGGTCAGCTTTTGTTGTACGGCCCTTTTTTGAAGGCGATCGTTTCGGTAACTGATGTTGATCCATCTTCTTGGCTAAGTGGATTTGCCACATTTTGTATTGACAAACATAGTGTGTGATTGCTGTACTAACATGGGCTTGACCCTTTATCTGCAGAGTTGGTTTGAGCAGCTTCTTGTAGATCTCTACAGTCTACTTCCTGTGGTTTGGGGGGGTGTTTCGGCCCGCTCGTCTTTGAATTGTTGTAATTCAGCCACATGCGAGGGTTTTGGAGCATGAACTGAAAGTGCAGCACCTGATTGAATCCGGACGATGAATAAATAAACACTTTAATAAAACTATTTGTAAAAAAAAAAAAAATATTGTGTAGATGGCTTAGCAGCAGTTTTACTAATAATGCATGGATTGCACCGTTTTAAAATGCAGTAAATTGCCTGCTGTGAACCTCCTGCATTTTCTTTTTTGGACTCTCCTTTCACGCTCTGCACTCTGATAAATCACTGCAGTTATTTTAAGGCCAAACCAACTTTTACAGACAGGTAAGAAAGAGCAGATGGTCGCTGGCTTCACAGAGAATTCATTAGTCACACGTCAGGTGATCGTTCAAACCCCCCACAGAAGGTGAACGACTTCCAAACTCCGCCCAAATATCCTCTCTGTGCCGGCTGTGAGTTTAACATATGTAAATGCTATTCCAGGAAAAACTGACAGAAAGTATTTACTGAAAAATAATATAAAAAAATAATCATTTACTTTACATTTTCCCAAACATTAAGTTCAAATTAGGATTTTTGCTATTCTGTTTTTATTGCCACACTTCATTTGCAATGAAACTATCATCAAAGTCAACTAACGATCGAAGAACCTTCAACGAACACGCCGTCAGCTCAGCCCAATGTCGTTTGTTTGGGTTTTTTTTTTATTTATTCAGAACAAACAAGTAAAGGATGAATCACCTCTATCAAAAAATGATGTTTAATATCATTATAGCAGCACACGCTATGATATATGAAGACGTCTCCTCAGTGTTGAAAGTCCAATGTAAACAACAGCAGTCACATCTTGTGGTGAAGAAGTCAAATGACTGGCTGCCTGTTCAGCTGCAGCAGCAAATGTAACCTGTGATTCTGGGACCAGACACTGGACTTTGCCCTCTGTGCATCTATGAAGCAGCTGTGAGTAATAATAGGTTTATTTCCTGTTAATAGACCTGCTCATTTGTGTCGAGGGGAGCTCTTGTGGCAGCTAATTGTACTTTTGCAGTCCATGTGGTGGGAAGCGTCCGTGTGCTGCTCAGTAAGCAGTCTCATGGTTGTTCTT